TATAATCCTAAAGCTGTCTAGGCAGACACAAGTTTTGACCAAGTAGAATACAGTCTGAGAACAAGCACTTGTAAAGGCACAGCCCAACCGTATTACATTTACTCTGAAGTAAATCCCACAAAATTCAGGGGAACTCAGAGGAGAAGTGTAGAGTTATGGAGAAGAGACTGAGCTACAGGAAGTCGACTCTCATCTAACTGAGACATGTTCATTAATTTCCACAGGCCTATGCTGAATAAAACTTCGCTGAATATTACCCAATGTACACAAAGTGCTTTGAACTCAAACTAGGATGAATATGGCTATGCCCTCCCTCTCCCTTTTATCTGAGCCTTCATCCCCAGCTAAAAACTGAGGGGAATTTCCATGACTTTCATGAGCAGGTGAAATTAAGTAACTTTCAGGTGCCATAGGTGAGTTTATATTTAAAGCAGACTTGACCAAGTGTTTTTCTTGTAACAAGAAAATCAGCCACCTTGTCTTCAGAGGAAATTCCACACCACCCAAAAGTTCTACAGTCCCAAAAAAGTCACCAAAAACGTAAACCCAGTCTTCCCCTGTCAGGCGAGATTTTTGCCACTAACCCAATACAGAAAATACTTCACCCCTGTCTTACTTTGAACACTCTACAGCAGGCATAGGGAAACTCGGCCCGCCAGCTGTTTGGGGACTACAATTCCCATCATCCCTGACCACTGATCCTGTTAGCTAGGGATCATGGGAGCTGTAGTCCCGAAACATCTGTAGGGCCGAGTTTGCCTATGCCTGCTCTACAGTACTATATAAATAGGTACATCACAAGTAAGGCAGCGCCACTGAACAGCAACTGAATTACCACCAATGTAAACTTCACATTGCTATGGTTGACAAAATAAAAGGATGCCTTGCCCTGTCAGGCCCATGTGCAAAAGCAACAATATCCTTCCGAGATACAAATAAAAGAAAGGTGCATTTTAGATGGTTTACCACTAGGTGGCGATAATTCAACACGGACCAATGCCACCTATGCAAAGTGCCGATTGAAAGTTGTATTCAGAAATGTAAGCTTCAGGTATAGATTTGAGGCTGTGGTCTTAAATGCAGTGGAAATATTATTTTTCCACGTGGTGTTCAATGATATTTAAATACACAATCAAAAGTTTTAACTCTCCTTCTTCTGGTTCTAAAAGTTTTAGTTCTTGCCTTTCGTTTTGTTTGTTTGTTTACTACTTTTCTGCAAACTGCTTTGGAGACCTTGGCTAGGGTCGAAATGCAATACAGTGGTACCTCGGGTTAAGTACTTAATTTGTTCTGGAGGTCTGTTCTTAACCTGAAGCTGTTCTTAACCTGAAGCACCACTCTAGCTAATGGAGCCTCCCACTGCCGCAGTGCCACCGGAGCACGATTTCTGTTCTCATCCTGAAGCAAAGTTCTTAACCTGAAGCACTATTTCTGGGTTAGCGGAGTCTGTAACCTGAAGCGTATGTAACCTGAAGCATATGTAACCCGAGGTACCACTGTACAAACATGTGTTTATAAATACAATTTAAAAACAAGTCTCACGAAAATCAATGAGGTTTCCTTCAAAATGTATTTGCTCGGTATTAGGTAGTTAAACTATTTCAGACCAGGTGCAGCAAACACGATTCTTATTTTATTACTTATTGAATTTGTATACTGCCCTTCACCCAAAGATCACAGAGTGATTCACAACATAAAAATGAGAATGCAAAAAACATAATGAAACCTGGAGCTACCTTTGAAGGGGACTTGGAAACTACAACTAATCCACAATGCGGCAGCTAGAGTGGTCACTGAGAGCAGCTGCCGAGACCATATAACACCGGTCCTAAAGGATCTATACTGGCTCCCAGCACATTTCCAAGCACAATTCAAAGTGTTGGTGCTTTGAAGTCCTAAATGGTCTCGGCCCAGTATACCTGGAGGAACGTCTCCACCCCCATTGTTCAGCCCGGACACTGAGGTCCAGCGCTGAGGGCCTTCTGGCGGTTCCCTCGCTGTGAGAAGTGAGGTTACAGGGAACCAGGCAGAGGGCCTTCTCGGTGGTGACGCCTGTCCTGTGGAACACCCTCCCATCAGATGTCAAGGAAATAAACAACTATCTGACATCTGAAGGCATCTGACATCTGTTTAGGGAAGTTTTTAGTGCTTGATATTTTATTGTGTTTTTGCATATGCTGGGAGTTGACCAGAGAAGCTGGTACAACCCAGTCCGATGGGCAGGGTACTATTGTTATTATTATTATTGAAATGCTTTTGCCTCAGGCCTAAAGATATGTAATGAAGAAGAAGAGGAGGAGGAGTTTGGATTTTATATCCCGCTTTATCACTACCCAAAGGAGTCTCAAAGCGGCTAACATTCTCCTTTCCCTTCCTCCCCCACAACAAACACTCTGTGAGGTGAGTGGGGCTGAGAGACTTCAGAGAAGTGTGACTACCCCAAGGTCACCAGCAGCTGCATGTGGAGGAGCGGGGACGTGAACCCGGTTCCCCAGATTACGAGTCTATCGCTCTTAACCACTACACCACACTGGCTCTCAATGAAGGCAACAGGCGAACCTTTCCAGGGGAGAGCATTCCACAAATGGGAAGCCGCCTCAGAAATGGCCCATTCTCACATTGCCACTCTCCTTCTAAATGTTGCCATGCAGCCTTCCAGATGTTGTGGGATTCCAATGCCCATCAGCTGCAGTCCAGCACTATTTGAAAGGCCACAGGTTTCCCCTCCTTGGAGCACTGTCTTATAATCCGTTGACTGCCCAACTTCTTATACCCATCCAATGACTAAGTCAAAGGGACGCGGGTGGCATTGTGGTCTAAACCACAGAGCCTAGGGCTTGCTGATCAGAAGGTCGGCAGTTCAAATCCCTGTGACAGGGTGAGCTCCCATTGTTCGGTCCCAACTCCTGCCAACCTAGCAGTTCAAAAGCACGTCAAAGTGCAAGTAAATAAATAGGCACCGCTCCGGTGGGAAGGTAAACGGCGTTTCCGTGCGCTGCTCTGGTTCGCCAGAAGTGGCTTAGTCATGCTGGCTACATGACCCGGAAGCTGTACGCCGGCTCCCTTGGCCAATAAAGCGAGATGAGCGCCGCAACCACAGAGTCGTCCGCGACTGGACCTAATGGTCAGGGGTTCCTTTACCTTTACCTTTAATGGCTAAGTCAACTTCCCTGTGATCACATGCTTTCAGTGCACAGCATGCAAAGTGCATTGCTGATTATTAATTATTGTTATATTTCTTTCACAATCAACACAGAGCCGGCTTGGTCTTGAACCATGCAAATGTTGCATGTTGCCTTCTGTTTAGCTCAAGGAATAATTCATCTATGAGTCAGGCCATGGCGTGGGGCATAGAGGGTCATAGGACAGTCACTGCATTTGCACACACAGTTCCAAAGACCAGAGCCTTAGCACTGGAGAATGACTCAAAAGAACATCATGGAAAGAAGTTCACTACCCCTCTTCTCTCATTCACAGTGGGAACCATAATCTGACAGTGAAACAGCAAGTCCCTTCAGGCAGCAATCTTTCATCTATGACTATTAGATTTAGATCAGTAAAGTCTGACCCAATACAACACGGAAAGTTATTATGTTGTGTGTCCTCAGGAAGCACTTATAGCTAGAGGGATAGAATACATGAATATGTTACCTGAAGTTTCATCATGGGCAGGGGCCGGGGGGAGGAACAGGACAGAGAAACCCCGAGGCTAGGAAAGCTTGATGAGGAAAGGAAAATCAGCCAAGGTAAAGTAAAATAAAGTAAATAAAGTAAAATAAAATAAAAAAAATAAAATAAAATAAAATAAAATAAAATAAAATAAAATAAAAATAATTTATTATTTATACTCCACCCATCTGGATGAGTTTTCCCAGCCACTCTGGGTGGCTCCCAATAGGAGTGTTAGAAACAATACAGCATTAAATATTAAAAACTTCCCTAAACAGGGCTGCCTTCAGATGTCTTTTAACAATAGGATAACTGCTTATTTCCTTGACATCTGATGGGAGGGTGTTCCACAGGGTGGGTGCCACTACCAAGAAGGCCCTCTGTCTGGTTCCCTGTAACCTCATTTCTCGCAGGGAGGGAATGGCCAGAAGGCCCTCGGAGCTGGATCTCTGTGTCCGGGCTGAATGATAGGGGTGGAGACGCTCCTTCAGGTATACTGGACCGAGGCCGTTCAGGGCTTTAAAGGTCAGCACCAACACTTTGAATTGTGCTCAGAAATGTACTGGGAGCCAATGCAGATCTCTCAGGACCGGTGTTATGTGGTCCCGGTGGCCACTCCCAGTCACCAGTCTAGCTGCTCCATTCTGGATTAATTGCAGTTTCCGGGTCACCTTCAAAAGTAGCCCCACATAGAGCACATTGCTGCGGAATCACGCAAAACTCAATTGTCATGTGATACAACTTATGTCTACACCACTTCTGGGACAACTGCCCTCATAACTCAAACCTAATATTTGGCAGAGGTGGTCAAGTTTGGTGATGATACCAAACTGTTCAGGGACATTAAAACAAAAAGAGATTGTGAAGATCTCCAAATGGATCTCTCCAAACTCAGTAAAATGTCAAATGCAATTCATTTTACAGAAGGGCAAAACAATGCATGTTTGTGGGAGAAATACCTTCATTTCATTCATATATATATATATATATATATATATATATATATATATCTCATGGGCTCTGAACTAGCAGTGGCTGATCTGGAATGAGACCTTGGGGTCATAGTGGACAGCTCAAGGAAGATGCTGACCAGGCGTACGGCAGCAGTGAAAAATGCAAATTCCATGCTAGAGATAATAGGAAAGGAACTGAAAATAAAACTGCCAATATCATAATGTATAAGAAAATTTGTAAAATATAGTATTTTCACAGTGGTTCCTGTGGAAAAAAATCTGTTCTTGACTGAAGGTTTCATTAAGAAGTTGAAATGAACAGCCCTCTCTTTGAATTCATAATTCAGCAAATCTTTAAAGAACACAAACAATATATATGCCCCGTACAAAACCGTAAATAATGTTGCACTGCAAACAAATAAAGCTTGGGTTTCATTCATCAGATTGCTTTCTAGAGAGTTAGTGTGAAGAGTGTTGGACCAGGATTTGGGAGACGAGGGTTCAAATCCTCACTCAGCCCTCAGCCATGAAATTCACTGAGCAACCTGGCAGACAAAAGATGAACAGGTTAAATCGGTTATGATAAACTGAGCAAAGGTCCTAGGACATAACATACAAATGGCAGATTGGGAGAGGCTTTGGAAAACGGATCTGAAATTCTCAGCATGTTGTACGCTGAAAGAAAACTATATGAAAATGATATATTTGACTCCTACTAAGTTATTTAAAATGAACAGAACAAGTTCAAATATCTGCTGGAAATGTAAAGAAAAAGAGGGTACATTTAACCATATGTGGTGGACCTGTGTGATAACAAAATCACTTTGGGAAATGGTATACAATGAGCTGGAAAAAAAAAATTTTAAATAACATTTCTCAAAAAACCAGAAGCATTTTTATTGGGAATTACAAGAACCGACATTCTGAAAGACCAGAAAAGACTACTTATGTACGCGACAACAGCTGCACAGATGTTACTAGCCCAAAAATGGAAAGAAACAGCAGTCCCAACTAGGGAAGAATGGCAAGCCAAATTGTTGGGCTATGCTAAAATGGTAAAATTGACCATGAGACTCCACAATCAAGAAGACAAGGGCTTTTAAAAAGAGCAGGGAAAATTCATAATATATTTAGGAGACCATTGTAAACAATTAAAAACGTTAGCTGGACTTTAGGAATCACTTGTAAAAATAAAAATAAGAAGACTGAAGGTGACTTGGAGAAATGAAAATTGTGGAGAACGTATTGATATGTAAAAGGTAAAGGGACCCCTGACCATTAGGTCCAGTCGTGACCGACTCTGGGGTTGCGTTGCTCATCTCACTTTATTGGCCGAGGGAGCCGGCGTACAGCTTCCAGATCAGGTGGCCAGCATGACTAAGCCGCTTCTGGAGAGCCAGAGCAGTGCACGGAAACACTGTTTACCTTCCTGCCAGAGCGGTACCTATTTATCTACTTGCACTTTGATGTGCTTTTGAACTGCTAGGTTGGCAGGAGCAGGGACCGAGCAACGGGAGCTCACCCCATCGCGGGGATTTGAACTGCCGACCTTCTGATTGGCAAGTCCTAGGCTCTGTGGTTTAACCCACAGTGCCACCCATGTCCCTGTATTGATATGTAGTTGTAGACTAATTGTGGAGGACCATGCAAGGGATGGGGTGAAGTAACGAGATTCAGAGAATCTCAGAAATTGATTGTTTTTAAAAATAAATAAATTCTTTTTTCTATTTGTAAAAACCAATATAGAATATTTCAAAAAAGAAACTCACTGAGTGACCTTAGGCCAGTCACAGCCTTTCAGCCTAACCCACCTCACAGGGTTACTGTGAGGAGGAAATTGGAGATGGAAAGAGCCATGTGTCTATCATACCTTTAGCTCTTTGGATGAAAGGTGGGATATAATCCCTCCCTCCCTCCCCAGGTACAGTCAGACTGCATATCTGGCGACATTCTCAGGTAGCAATTCTGGAATCTGTATTTCAGAATCAATACAATTCAAGACAACAATGCCCATTTACACCACAAAGAACTCATAACCCACCTGCTCCCAGCAGCCAGAAACACCATAACCAGACACTGGAGAGACCTGTCAGGAGTAAGCATGGACCAATGGTACCAAATAGTATGGGAAACAGCCCTACTAGAAAAATTAACTAATAAACTGAAACTGACACGGGGACAAACAGAAGAAGACGCCTTCACCCCGGTATGGCTCCCCTTTATCACATACACAGCCCAACAGGACAATGACAATAATCCACCAACAGCATACAAATCAATATGGCTAACCTGATCCAAAACACCCACCCACCTCAATCACACATGAAAACAAAGATCACCACAGCCAATCACAAGCAAACAATCACACCCTAGGCCAACCCCAACCTCTCTCACCACCAAAGGAACACAAGTGAACAACACAAGCAACGCTGACACCAAACTCTACATACATTAAACATAATAGAAACACCGCCACCCGACCCCACCCCTATCCATCTTCCCTCTCTCCACCCCCCCTTTCTTTTTTCTTTTTTTTTTCTTCTCCCCCTAATGCCTCAACAAATGAAACGGATTTGTAAAAATGTTACATGGAAAAAAAAAATACAAGGCACTACACTTCTGTAAAACAAGAAAATCCTTAATGAAATGTTTTTTTTAAAAAAAGAATCAATACAATTAACTGTTCCATGTGGTTTACACTCCCAGATTGTAGCCTATATATGTAATTTAACCAATGGTCATATGTATTCTTAGGGATCAGAAAGATTCCATCAACGGTGTCTTCAGAAAATTTTACACATCACTTGGGAAGGCAGGCGAACTAATGCCAGTATATTGGAAAAAGCAAAGATCACTAGTGTTGAAGCAATGATTCTTCAACATCAACTTCGTTGGACTGGTCATGTTGTGGGGATGCCTGATGATCGTCATCCAAAGCAACTACTCTATTCCGAACTTAAAAATGGAAAGTGCAATGCTGGTGGTGAACAAAAGAGGTTTAAAAACTGTCTCAAGGGAAATCTTTAAAAATGTAGTATAAGCACCAACAATTGGGAAACACTGGCCTGCAAGCACTCCAGTTGGAGAACAGCCTTTACCAAAGGTGTCATGGGCTTTGAAGACACTCGAACTCAGGATGCAAGGGAGAAATGTGCTAAGAGGAAGGCACACTTGGCAAATCCACACCGTGATCAACTCCTGCCTGGAAACCAATGTCCCCACTGTGGAAGGACGTATGGATCCAGAATTGGCCTCCACAGTCACTTACGGACTCATTGTTAAAACCATATTTATGGAAGACAATCTTACTTGGCTACGAGGGATCGGCAAAGCAAAGCAATTTTTATAACAAAACAAACGGCTACTTTACCATTGTTTTCTTGCCTGGTTACACTCTGTCATTATTCCTGCTACTGCGTGCCCAGCCATACGACATGCAAATGGATTTCAGTCCATTTTGTTAAAGCCAACTAATTAGATACATTGGAAAGGGAAAAGCAGCCCACCCAGTCAAACCTCTTTGCGCCAACAAACTGGCCTTCGACCGTCAAAGAGCTTCCTGCAATCTGTACCATCTGTGCAAGCAGCTGGCACCAAACTCCAAAAATAGCTCTTCAATTACATTATCCAATTAGATTTTAGTGCAAAATCAATTGTCACTTAAGTGATTTATAAAAGTTTTTTTTTTTCCAAAAATCAGTTTTCCTATTTGGTTTCTGCAATGTGATATTTGCAGTCGAGACTTTTTCATACTTGTTTATTCCATAACCCGGGGCCTCTTTCTGCAAGGCTGCCCCCAACAAAAGCCCCAGGGCTATCGAGAGGTACGCAACTGAGCTACCAATTGAGAAGGCTGCCGTTTGCAACCTGCCTCTGTCGCCAATGCCTTCCCCCACCTCCGCAATCTGTGATATGGAGATAAGAATCCTGACCTACAGCTGTGTTTCTGAAAGGCATCAACAAGTGAAATGCTTTGAACATCTGAAATGACCGCATAAATGCAAAGCATTATAATCATCATTATAATCAGTTCAGGCCAATGCTAACAAATACGGTGGAGTTCATGAGCTGTTCATTCAGATTTGATGACTGAACTAAAAAAAGTAATGTGTGTGTGTGTCAATTTATGGCATCATTCTATTTGCTTAAAGTACTAAATGCTTGCCTTTCCTGACCAAGGTGGCTAACAATCACATTTAATAAAAGTTACAAGTGAAAAGCAGAAAAGATGGAAAGACCATGCCAGCCACAGTTTCTATCCCTAAAAAAAGACAGATCTCAGAGAAAAACCATGCAAATGTGACCTCTTTGCAGTCAGGTGCCGCCTCATACTTTACATATCATTTGCAGGATGGGGTCAGTGGAAGGCCAGGCAGTGGTCTACTAAGTTGGCGGGGGACGGCGACGACAAGTTGGAATATTCAGGAAGTAACGAACTACAAACTACATTAAAAGTCATATTATCTGAATTTGGAAATAAAATGTGCTTTATAATAGTAGTAACAACAACAACAACAAAGAAATGAACAACCTTCATAATCAAAGTACACTAATATATTTATGGTGCCACTGCAGAATATTGCCTTTTTAAGTGTGGGCATTTGCATGGGGAAATGTAGCAGATTTTATAACTTAAGCATTGTAAATTCTTTATTTTTTTGCTTATTCTGCAGGTGAAATCCTGAATATATTTAGTCTCGGTCAACTCACAAGCACAGCAATACAGCCACTCAACCAAAACTTTCCTAGACAGAATGGTTCTGACCTGTTTCCTTAAAAGAAATTTGAGTTGTGTTCTGATTCAACATAGTCAGTGAGATTTCTGAGTAAGCTTGGAAAGGATTAGACCTGGACCTAACCGGAGATCTGAAACTGGGACTGTCTGCATGTAAGTCATGCATTCTGTCACTGCTGTACTGTGACTCCCAATTTGAACCTGTAAACTAGAATTGTGTCCTGAATGAGACTATAAATTTCATTCCATTATCTCCAGGATCAGCGGAGAAACTGTATTACAAATAATGGGTGAGTAGGCCAACTGCTTGATGCTATTGTTGTTATTGTTTTATTATCGTTTGTTTTATATTAAGAGCAGCACTTAGCAGTGATGACTGAAAGGGAAGATACAGCAATGTGAAACTAAATTGCAGTAAGCACAGCATGCCAAAAGATTTATCCATCTTTACACACATAAAGTTGTTTTAGGAAACCAATTTTCAGCACATGACGAATCAATTTTACAGAGCATCGAAGTTCACCTGATGACGACTGTGCAAGAGCAACTGTTAGCAAGAAAAAGATTACAGTGGTACCTCAGGTTACGAACTTAATTCGTTCTGGAGGTCCGTTCTTAACCTGAAACTGTTCTTAACCTGAAGCACCACTTTAGCTAATGGGGCCTCCCGCTGCGCTGCCCCCACGCAATTTCTGTTCTCATCCTGAAGCAAAGTTCTTAACCTGAGGTACTATTTCTGGGTTAGCGCAGTCTGTAACCTGAAGCGTCTGTAACCTGAGGTACCACTGAACAACATAAACACCTCCAGGTGTTTGATGGATTAAAAGCTGGCACGGCACTTGTGCCAACATCTATTTAATTTGTTCTGATGCTCAGAGTTCATGTTTTCAACCTTGGCCTGAAGATGATTGATTGTTTTCACCTATGTAGAAAAACTGCCTTGGACAGTGTCACAGCAGCCGGGCAGCCCCACGTCATACGGTTCCATATTAATAGAGTCCCCTGGTTAGGAGCACAGGACAACAGCAATTAGGACTCCAAAACTGCAGGGATTTATTCCAGAGGAAAAGGAAAACAACACAGTCAGGGTCCGATCAACATCACCCTCTCATTTTCTTGCACAGTTCCAAGGTGCACCTGCGTATAACCCAAGGTGAAATGGTAGTCAAGATAACCCCAAACTGGTAGTTGTTGCATGAATGAGCTCATATATGTTTATATTCACTTGATTTGATATGTGCTAATTGGCATGCTTATCTGTGGATGCTGAGCTCTAGGCCTACAGAGGGCGGAAGCTTTGGACAGCTGCCACCTATGGCCTCACCAGCCAGGTGTGAGGGGAAGTTCTGAGCAAACTGAAAAGCCATCTCCTCCTGCCGTGTCCACCCCACATCTGTAGAGGCTGGGAGACCTGGCAGACTAGTTTCATCTCTCTATTTTCCATCTGTGTACAAACCAGGTTCCTTGCTACAGCCATACAGTGGGGTCTTTTGCACTGTCAGTTACACAGCTGCTTTCAGGGATGAGGAATGCTGAATACGCCCCCCCCCCCAAGACACAGATCCTGCAGGAACAACATTCGAAAGCCTCTCTGTATCCTCCTTTTATGATCACTTCTTGCCTTTTTACACTATTAAGTGCAATGTGGCTGCAAGTCTAATTGTAGATGAAGTGCAGCAAGTTCAAAATGCCCATAACCATCTACATGAGAGACCAGTGACACATCCTTCAGTGACAAGTTGGATTCTGATGGTACATTAATTTCATCCCAATCTGTCAGGTGCTTGGCTTCTCCTAAGCATCAGCTATTGCTCCTCCATCTGTCCACCCCACTTTATACTTTTGAAAATTCAAGTCTCCTTCAAACTTTGTGTTGGTGGAGACTGTTTTCCCAATGTGCCTTTTAATTCCCTAAAAGATAATGATGCATTTGTATCAATAAGGTTTTCTGGTTATTTGTGCTGTTTAGCTACCCATCGTTACGCTGGAAGGAGAAAGATCATTTGGGTTGCTCTGAGTCGATTGCACTGGCAACAGCAACAACATATTCAACTCTGTTCGCTGTCTCTCCTGACAAAGCTGCTCTGCTTTGGAAATCACTTCTCTGCTTAACCTATAGGACACGAGTGTCCTGACCCTGGACCAGTGACAGTATAGAATGCAGAGTCCAAAGATGCAGTACTATCAGTTGACTAC